CATACATCGCCAAAACCCACGGTTTAATTTTTATTTATCATTATATTAAGTTCAAGTGACAAATGAGTTGACATTTCGTCTGAAGTTAAGTAGCTACTGCAGCCCATTAACATCTTTCACCAATATAAAACAAAAAAGAAGGCTGGAGATGCATTGCCACCTTTAAGGACTAAGATGGTGTTCCTCACAAATTATACTGGCTCTCTTTACCCTTCAGGCTGAAACACAGCAGTGCACGCACAGCTGTTTGGTTGTACCGAAAAAGACAAAAGAGTAGTACTTACCTAAACGTGTCCTAGGCAGAAATGGAGAGACATGGACATTGTCATAGTTCCCATGCGATTTAAGGCGGTTGTTATTATTATATAACAGTATTTTAATTTTCTGAGTTGTTACCAGAAAGATGTGATTGCCCATGGCTTGTTGCAGTTTCTTAATTGACGTCCATAGCAGCTTTAAGTAAGCAAACTTAAAAAATATTCTTGATGTCACCTTGAATTTGAGATGTAAATAACATGCGTAAAATGAAACTCCGGCCATTACAATGCTCGTTAGGTGCTTACATTTGTTTCATTGCAGTTATTTGAGCTGATTGTGCAGCTCAAACTATCCCGCGGCTGTAACACTTTATGCAAATGTTTAGACCGCACTTTTTCAAGAACAAGACAACTGCAATGAAATGATAGACAGAAATTTCAGAAAAAGAAAAATTATTCTTTTCGGAGTACAAGAAACTGAATATAACTATCACGATTTATAAACAATTGTTTTGAAAATAGTTCATTATAATATGCAAGCCTCAAGTGAAAAATCAGATTTGGAATATTTTAGAAGAATTGGTAAAAATGTAGAAAAGCCAAGACTCATAGTCCTTACAACTAAGAGTAAAAATATCTAATTGTTTAAAAATCGTTGAACTCTTGAAAAAAGCCTTATATAATATTAAAGAAGATTTTACTTCAAATATTAAAACCTAGAATACTACTTTTTCAAACCTCAAAAAAAATTTAACAATGAGAAGCACATAACAGCAGCAAAAATCCAGTAAGAATAGAAATCTGTCTACATCCCCAGAAGTGCATACTTCATTAGAAGATCGAAATAAATTCACTCAACAAATACCAAAGAGAAACAACACAAATAGTAATCAATATGTTACAAATCATCAAAAGATGACGATTCCGTTTCACACAATAAAAATAAATCTGAAAAGCAATTCGTGACGACCTTTACAAAATCCAATACAACTTGTCACTGCGACAACAGAGGAGCGCGCGGAAAATTTGAAATAGTTTGAAACAGTTTACGAGTTATTTTATTAGTTAATATTATTGATTGAGCAGTTTGATAGAACAGACCCGGCTTCTCGGCTTTTATGGAGGCTTCGCTACCGTGGCTGATGCATCAACGTCCCGACTCCTAAAACTACGGCAAATTGTACAGAAGAGCAAAGAGTGCACTCTGCCACTTTGTCTTGCGTATGTGGACTATGCGAAAGTGTTTGTTTCCGTAGAAATTTGGGCAGCGCTAAAGTGCCATAAGGGGTGCCAAATTGACTGTTGGTTTTTCAAAGTGTTAAAGTGTATGTACAGTAGGGCTGAGACGACTATCCGAGTATAGAACTCAGACTACGAAACCTATACAACTGCAGAGAAATGTAAATAAATCTGAAAAGCAATTCGTGACGACCTTTACAAAATCCAATACAGCTTGTCACTGCGACAACAGAGGAGCGCGCGGAAAATTTGAAATAGTTTGAAACAGTTTACGAGTTATTTTATTAGTTAATATTATTGATTGAGCAGTTTGATAGAACAGACCCGGCTTCTCGGCTTCTATGGAGGCTTCGCTACCGTGGCTGATGCATCAACGTCCCGACTCCTAAAACTACGGCAAATTGTACAGAAGAGCAAAGAGTGCACTCTGCCACTTTGTCTTGCGTATGTGGACTATGCGAAAGTGTTTGTTTCCGTAGAAATTTAGGCAGCGCTAAAGTGCCATAAGGGGTGCCAAATTGACTGTTGGTTTTTCAAAGTGTTAAAGTGTATGTACAGTTGGGCTGAGACGACTATCCGAGTATAGAACTCAGACTACGAAACCTATACAACTGCAGATAAATGTAAAACAGGGTGAGGTTATATCCCCGAAACTTTTCACTGCTGCATTCGGAGACGTTTTCAAGCTACTTTTGTTTTAAATTACTTACGATATAGTCTTTATGGCAGTATCACTGGAGGACGTAAGAACTATGCACAATGAGCTCAATAGTGCCTCACAAGGGATAAGTCTTTAAACAAACTTGTAAAAAACCAAAGAACATCTGTAACGTTCATATCACACCTATGCCGGTAGTTGTTAGGAGCATTAAGCTGGGACAAATAGTTCGATTAGGTAAGTCCAACTTCGATCGAGAGGTTAATCGACGGATCCAACTTGGGTGAGCAGCATTCCGGAGATTATGACGCATCTCCTCATCGTGTGTACCTCAAATCTTGAAAAATTTCCACATCTGCGTGATAACTTAGAAATGAGGATATTTGCAGTAGAGCCAGATTAACTGACATAGCCTGACGGATTAGTAAGATGAAGTGGTAATGGGACGGCCAGACGGACGGAATACTCGATATCCGATGGGGAAAAAATATCTCGAGTGGCAGCTTTGTACCGGTAGGAGAAATATAGGGTGGCCCACCACTGGATGGAGTGACAACTTGTTATAGTCTAGATGCAGGTGGCTCAGGAACGTGCTTTGTGGCATTCCTTGGGGGAGACCTAAGTTCAGCAGTGGACTTGTAAGGGGCTGTTGTGATGTTGATGATCAGATACTGGATTATATTACGCCGCCAATCTACGTCGAATATCATGTATATATGGCTTGTTATATTATATATTTCATGGAGTAACGTTACGAAAAATTATTCATTATAGAAATTCTATTTTAAGAAATTTTATTTTCTATTCTATTCTACTCTTCTCTTCTCTACCCTGCTTTACCCTACTGTATCCTACTCTATGCTACTCTATTTCACTCTATCTTACTCTATTCTATTCTCTTCTATTTTATTTTATTCTATAAAAATAGCTTCTGTCTGTAAAACTAAAACACCCAATGGCAATTTTTTAATCATAACCTGCTCTTGATATTTTCATATTATTTGTGTATTTCTAACCACTATTACAAGTTTCTAGCAATTTAAAAAAATATGAAATGTAATAAGTTAAGTTAAAGAAAATTTTCTTGTAAAATATGCGGATCGAATTTACAAACGTGAAAGTTTTGTGGGTCACAGCCGCACTCTTAAACTCGCTCAAACTCACACCCAGTGGGAAAATTAGTTTTTTGCTCAAATGAATAGGTTATCTTTTTCTTTAAAGGTCTAAAATAAGAGTAACTTCAAAAAGAATCTTTAGATAAGTTCATAAAATACTTGCACATACATTTGAATCTCTGATTGCGAAATATGTGGGAGGATTAAAATGACCGCCGCCCTGTTCCTGTGTGGTGGACTAGAGTTGTACTCGTGGAATAGAATAATTTTTATTAAAGATATCTTTATATATAATTTTTTGAAAGTGATGTGTTTTTCAATCAACTCCTAAACCGACTTCGATAAAAATGTGTGTATAAGTCCTACCCTTTTACTCATGCCTGTCGTCTAACAACAGTACGTGCACAGCTGTGTTCAGGTTTGAAGAGTACAGAGAGCTAGTATAATTATAATAATAATAATAATAATATCATATAATAATAAATCATACGCTCGAAAATATTTGATGATGCCGAACTCGAACGACTACGGCGTGAGGCTATTCCCTCATCGAATGAACCAGCTATAGCTGGGGATGCGGCTCCTCAGGCCACAGACCAGCAGCCACATATAGAGGGCGCCATGAATCTCCCCGCTCTAGTTGATTCAGGCGATGATGGAATGGTCACTCAAGAACTAGAGCAGATGAGGAGTAAATTGGAGGAGGCGATTGTGGAAACGCGCAGTACGCCTCTCGAAAATCGACCGCGACTCCCGCGCATACGCCTAAGCAAGCGAAATCGGGCTGTCGTGAGGGCTCTCAACCCAATGCTGGTGACCTATTTGGAAGCCAGCCGGGACCTTTGCGAGACGGACTCAATTCTTTTTGGCGCCGCACAGACAGTTTGCCGTATTGTTGGCGCCAAACTTCCCACGGCTGGACGCGCTACTAGACAAAGTAGCGCCATCCCAGCCTGGAGAAGAAGGATTGAGGACCGTATCGTAAAGGCAAGGGCCCTCATTGGGAGGCTGATAATTGATTTTTTATTAATTGATTGATTGATTGATTAAATTGGCAGGGACAAATATCAGTTTGTCCCAGCCGGATATAACGCAAAAACTGACGGAGCGCATAGACGACCTGAAGCAGAGAATCGCTGCTTGGGGGAAGCGGATTCGGCGATATACCGAGAGGTCAACACGGTTCAACCAGAATCGTCTCTTCCAGAGTGATCAGAAGAGGCTATATAAATCATTGGAGCGACCAATGGTACGTGGAACGGGCCAAGCACCGAATCAGGCCGACACTGTCGCATTCTGGCGCGGCCTGTGGTCAGAGCCCGTAAACCACATTGAGGGCCCTTGGACGGAAGTTGTGGTGAGTCAGTGTGCGAATCTTACGCCCATGGACCCCGTCATTATAACGCCGGACGATGTAGCTGAGGCGGTCCGAAGGGCCCCGAACTGGAAAAGTCCGGGGCTCGACGGGCTGCATCACTACTGGCTGAAGGGGTTCGTGGTGTGTCACGCTGTGCTCGCCCGACAATTTCAAGAGGCTCTCGACCAAAAGTCGCTCCCGAGCCTCTTCACTACTACACTACTACACTACACTACACTCATTTGGTTCCTAAAGACCGGGATACCATAGATCCGAGCAAATACCGCCCCATCACGTGTCTACCCACGATATATAAGACACTAACATCCATTTTGAGCGCGAGAATCACTCGTCACCTGAACTCAAATCAGGTGATGTCGCGCGCTCAAAATGGATGTCGGGGCGGTGGTCGTGGAACCAAGGAACCACTCCTCATTGACGCGGTCATTGGCAAAGTGATTAAAAGCAACCGTAGGAACCTATCCGCCGCCTGGATAGACTACAAAATGGCATTTGACTCGGTGCCTCATACATGGCTGAAGAGGGTCCTCGAGCTGTACAAGGTTGACTGTACAGTTAGAGACTTCCTCGCGCAGTGTATGGGGCAGTGGAGTACGATCCTTTGTCATCTAGGCGAGCGGATGACGGCTGCGGAGAACCACATAAGGATAAGAAGGGGTATCTTCCAGGGCGATTGTCTGAGTCCAATCTGGTTCTGCCTCTCTCTGAACCCTCTCAGTACCTTACTGGAGGGCTCCGGGAGGGAATTTTAGCTTCGGAGGGGAGGTACAAAAGTGACCCACCTTTTCTATATGGATGATCTCAAGTTATTCGCCTCCAGTCGCTCTCATCTTGTGGAATTGCTAAACAACACTTGTGATTTTAGCAATTCTATTTGAATGGGGCTGGGGACGGATAAGTGTGCGGTCCTCCATATTGAAAGGGGAAGGGTTGCTAACTCCGAGGGCATAGATTTATCTATGCCCATCAACATAAGGACCCTTTCCGAGGCTGAAACATACCGATACCTGGGTATGTCACAGAACATCGGTGTAGATGAGGCGGGTATGAAACAGTCAGTTTGCGATGTGTTTTATGCACGCTTGACCAAAGTGCTTAACAGCCTTTTGTCCGGTGTGAATAAGACGCACGCATATAACGGTTGGGTCATGCCTGTTCTCATGTATACCTTTGGCATACTTAGGTGGACTCAGACCGAACTAAACGCTCTGGACAGAAAAGTCCGCACTATAATGACGTCCCACAGGATGCATCATCCGAGATCGTCAGTAATGAGGCTGTACTTGCCACGGAAGCATGGTGGGCGCGGCTTTTTAAGCGCGCTTACCATGCATAATCGCGAAGTGTGCAGCCTCCGTAATTACTTTCTGACGAGAGCGGATGATCCATACTATAGGGACGTTATTTCTTGTGATAAAGGACTGACCCCTCTATCCTTAGCCAACGAGCAATGGCAAGACCCACCAGTACAGTGCATTTCCGACCGGGAGGCCGTATGGAAGGAGAAGGAGCTCCACGGGAGGTTCTACAAGGCTCTACATGAGCCTTTCATAGACACAGTCGCCTCCCTTCACTGGCTACGTTTCGGTGACCTCTTTGGGGAAACCGAGGGTTTTGTCTGTGCGATACAGGATTAGGTTATTAAGACCAACAATTATCGGAGATACATCCTAAAGGATGGCGCCGTCGACATCTGTCGAGCTTGTCGCCATCCCGGTGAGTCACTTAGGCATGTCATCTCCGGTTGTTCGGCGCTTTCTAACTCTGAGTATTTGCACAGACACAATCTAGTAGCCAGGATTCTACACCAGGAGCTCGCTCTGAAATACAGCCTCGTGGATCGGAAACTGCCGTATTATAAGTACTTGCCGGAAACCGTGCTCAAAAATGACCGCGCCAGGCTCTACTGGGACCGGGCCATCATCACAGACAGGACTATTCTTGCGAATAAGCCTGATATTGTGCTGATGGACCGGGCACAGTCAAGGATCTTTTTGGTCGACATTACCATTCCTTAAGACGAGAACCTCGTGAAAGCCGAAACAGATAAGGTGACAAAATATCTGGACCTGGCTCACGAGGTTACCGGCATGTGGGGTGGTCTGCCGACCGAAATTATTCCTGTGGTCGTTTCTGCGAACGGGTTAATCCCAGTCAGCCTCCCGGGTCATCTGAGGCGACTGGGACTCCGTGACGGACCACTCCAGGCTCAAATGCAGAAGGCGGTGCTCCTCAATACCGCCCGCATCGTCCGCCGGTTTCTTTCCCTTTCCCCCTAACCCTCGGCCGTCTGGTCTCCCCTGTCGAGGGCTTCCATCTGGTTGGGTTTTTATATATTTATGTATTTTTTATGTATTTATTTTATTTTATTCATATTTATGTATGTTTACCATTTTCATTTACAATTATATATTTATACTGCCCAACCAGATGAGAAAACTTTATAGATACCCCATAATAATAATAATTATAATTATAGCCTTCCTCATTTAAAGGTGGTTGCAGGTGCTCATGGGCTGTACTGTAAGATCGTTTTTCACTTAAATCTTAAAAAGATACCTTATGTTTCAACTGTATGTTTGTCTTACATATAAAATATAGTCATTACATAACCATTTCCAGTACTCGACTTCAGTAAAAAAGTAAATCCCTGGTCTATAAATTAACCTTAAACTTAATCGCTTAATTTTCTTATATATTTTTATTGACATGGCATAGGGGGCCGGTGCTTACGATTTGTAATTTTGATGTATTTGTGGATAATTTTATTTTTGGTCTTAATTTTTAGCGCGAAAATATTGAGGGAACCAGTCGAAATTATTTCTAACTAGTGAGCATATTTCAGATATTATATATAGGGATGTTAATGTTAGGATATTATAATTGATAGAGTAATTTCTACAACTTGTCATGGAGTCGACATTTGCAAGTATGCGAATAATTTTTTTCAGAATTAGAAACACTTTGTTAGCGTCTGTGCTATTACCCCAAAATACCACACCGTAGCGTAGCCAGGCGTCTGCGTACACGTAGAAGGCACAGGTTGCTGTTTTAAGTCGGTGGTATTTTTAAGTTCTATAAGAGCGTATGTAAAACTAAATAATTTTTGACAACTTTATTAATGTTTTCGGTTATCTATGTTCACCTTACGAAACACAGTAGCATTAAGCTCCTATTTTACGCTGGTATGTATTGGTATTACTGTTAGAGAAAGAATGCACGATCGAACCGATCCGTTCGTGCTGCAATCATAATATTGCTGCAGCGTGGCTTAACCACGTTTTTTTTTCTAAATTAATCAACTTTACTTAATTTTATATCACACCGTATCTTGTTACAGTGCGGGGTAATAATTATAATAATTGGAAATATTATTGAAATAAAATCTCCTCAGTTGCAAACTTAAGCTATTAAAGTCCTGACCCTCGGCATTAGCCGTGTCAGGTGGCGAAAGTTTCAAAGTCGCTCCGAACTATTGAAGATATTTATGGACGCTAAATGTTCCCAATAATTGGACTCCCAGAAATGTTTAGTTCAAAAGCTTACGTAATTTTGATATAATTCAATCCATATAAAAGCAAAAATATCACTCAATAATGAAAAAGTGGATATAATTATATAATTATCGTAAATAGATATTACGCATTAATAGTAAAGAGGTTAAAGATGATCGGGGTGTTTTGGCATGTATATTTATTATAGATTTTAATACGTAAATGTGATGCAATTTTGTGTACCTATTACATTTTTATGCATGAGAACTTAAAGTAAAAATTTTGATACGAGGGCTATAATGTCCTCCAGACCGAATTTCGGTCACGGCGGCCAGTCTCAAGTAACAAGCAAAGTAGCCATCTGCGCAGGACATTAAATATAATGCGCGAATGTGTGCATAATAGGGTGAGTGATTTTTTTTTATATAGGGCATACCCGCAAAAAGCTACGTGACAGGGTCAATAAGCAAATACGAATATATTTTTATGTAGTTTTAAATTTACGGGTGCCCTGGATAGAACAGTTTAGAAAAAAATATCCGAAACATGTCAATGTACATTAATTCAAAACTTTATAAAAGATTTGAAACTGTTCTGTTGTTTCTAAACACATCCAACCTACAGTTCAACATTCAGTTCGTAATATATATATATATATATTTATATATAAATGTCACAGCCAACTAACTTAATTAGCCTTTCAGTTAACAGCCTAGAATTTTGAATAAACGGCCTGAATTGTATTCAGCTCATGCGTTTCAGATGATGCGTCTAATACAACATTTCTAATAGTACCTAATAATGCACTCTATCTATTACTAAAACTTTAGAATTTAAAAAGCTAAGCTGTTAACTGAAAGGCTACTAAAGCTATTATATATACGCAAATACGACGAACAGCAGTGTCGTCTAGTAACGACTAAAAAAAAACTGAGGTTGCGTTTGTTATAGCTGAATAAAGAAAGTGGCGCAAATTTGAGTCTCTGAGAGATGACCACATTTTTATGTGTCATTTGCTCTTGTGACCATCAATTCGTGGGGTCCTTAAGATCTTATAGAAACTGTATCCGCAACTAGTCGCCGCAAAGGCTAAGATAGCCATTCGGCGAGTAAACACAATCAACGTTCTTGGCACTATACCGCGAGGAGTAGGGTTGTATGATGATTTATGTTTGTAGTCTTAGTTTTTCTTATTATGGTAATAAATATTGTACATATTTAAATGTTAAGTAAGTAAATGATATGTGTATTTAATGTGAACTACGAAATTTAGTAAACTGCTATTTTTTGCACCATAACATTTGGATTATTTAGTGTGATCAACAAAAAGTCACATTGAATATTACATACATATTTAAGCATCACGCCTGTGATCCCTTGAGCGGGTAGACAAAGTCGAAATAACAGTAAGCTCCACGGATCGTAGCGAAAACAATAGGCACAGAGAGAAAATTGTGAAATAACTTGGATAGCCCATCCTCATTACAATCACAAACCCAATATCGTATTAGTCGTGTTTAACGACATGCTAGGCAAGTAACATAGTAGGCACATCCTTTTTAGCTATAATTACCATATAACTACGCGACTTCCAATATGGCACTAGATAACATTATTCCATGCTTCTGAAAGTGCCTCCATTAACCCATTCCTACAAAAGTCCAATGCTGAACATAGGCCTCCCCCAACTAGGGCGAAATCCCCCTCCTCATGAAAATTATTAAACATTAGAGAAAAATCAATAATGAGATAAAATATTTTACATTTTTGTTAACGTTTAACATATTTTTCATATTTTTATTTTGAGATACATATTAAGCTCTCTATAAATATTTATAAAAAAATGTATTGACCGTGTCGTAAACACAATGCATTGCCAAGAAATGAGTTGAGCATGCGTAAAACATTTATAATTTATATTTAAATATTCCTTTAATTTTTAGGTCACCTTAATGCTATATTCAGTATTGCTTGCTGACAACTTGCAGATGTGACGCATTTGAGAAAAGAAGTAAGTAAAAATGCACCAAGATTTATAGCATTGTCTTATGACCATTCTTAATGGAAATAAAGAAACACACATTTCCTTACGATTTTTCCGCAGAAGTTCTAATGACATATTTTAATTTGTTTAGTAGAGAGAGGTAGAGCTTAAGACTGTAGTCCTTGAGCGTGGGAACTTTTAATAGAACACATACATTGATATTTTCTAGCCACACAGACGCATCTCGCAGTGTTATTATACGCACCCTAGAGAT